AAAAGTGCAACAGAAAGTTCACACAATGAGCAGAAACATACACAATGCCAAATACCTCCTGGGAAAATGTAGCTTTTATGTATTAGAGAAAAAAAATGACAGATGTCAAGCCACGGGGAAAAAAAGCCCTGCTAAAATGGAGATATTGCCAAAAGCCAAACACCTATGAATGGGTGAAACCAGCCCCACTGGAGGTTGTCCCTCCAGCAGCATCCTCCCCTCAGTGGGTGTCACAGCTGGGATCCCGGTGCCCCCAGCCCCCCGCGCTCCCCATTCCCAGCGCCCCGCCGCCTCAGCCAGCCCCCGTGCCCAGGGACGGCCTCCCGGCATTCCCGCCGCTGCTCCCACACTCCCGGGCCCAACCGCCCCAATCCAGCCCCGCACCGCGCCGGCCCCTCTGTCCCCGCGGCCTCACCGGTGCTGGAGGCCGGGCCGCAGGCTGTACGTGTTCTCGGCTGCTCCGTCCGGGCCCAGCTCGCCCATGGCCCCGCAGGCCCCGGCGTTGGTTACCGGGACAACCGCGGCGCTTCCGCCGCCCGCCCCGCGCGGCGCCGCCCCGGCCGTGAGGCGGCTCCGTGTGCGTGTGCCTGAGCTCCGGGCTTTATGTCTCTGCAGCCTATGGCATTGTTTTGTTAAAAAAAAAAAGAAAATAAAAGTTTTTTTTTTTCTGTGTTTTTTTTTTTTTAAATAAGACTTGTACAATGAAGCAGTTGGTGAATAAGTGCTAAGTAATTGCAGGCTGTTTTAATAACTGTAATAATGGTACAATTAATTTTGCAATGTAGAAGATGCTGAGGTGCTGGAGCAAGTCCAGAGAAGGACGGTGGAGCTGGGGAAGGGTCTGGAGCACAAATCCTGTAAGGAGCAGCTGAAGGAGTTGGTTGTGTTTAGTCTGCAGAAAAGGAGGCTCAGGGGGCCCTTATCCCTCTACAACTCCCCGAAAGGAGGATGTAGCCAGGCAGGGGTCAGCCCCTTCTCCCAAACAACCAGCAACGGGATGAGAGGGCACAGCTGTTCCAGGGGAGGTTTAGGTTGGACATTAGGAGGAATTTCTTAATCATAGAAAGGGTGATTAATATTGGAATGGACTGCCTAGGGAGGTGGTGGACTCACTGTCCCTGGAGGTGTTTAAAGAAAGACTGGATGTGGCCCTTAGTGTCATGCTGTAGTTGTCATGGTGGTGTTGAGTCATAGGTTGGATGTGACGATCTCAGAGGTCTTCCCCAACCTGATTCATTCTGTGATTCTGTAAGTAAAGGGTTTGAAAAGGTTGCTGCCTGGGGTGCAGCTGGAGGTGTGATGGGGAGAGAGTGGGGTAAGACAGCCTGGCCTCACTTGCTGCTTCCCCGGTGCCCCACTCCTGCCCAAAGCAGCCGGCAGCCACAGCCCCTGCACTCAGCCTTGCCCAGGGCTAGGAGGCTCCCTTCCTGCCTATGTACAACACATCCCAGACATCAGGGAGGAGATCCCAGCCTTGCTCCCTTCCTCCAGCAACTTCTTAAATCCTCCATAAAGGCTTAAAATTCTTGCTCCCCAGAATCCTACCCCTTGTGCCCTTTTCCCTGCCCATAAAGGCTGTGTGTCGCAGGGACGGACGGCTGCATGTGCTGCAGCCCCTGCTGAGAAGCTGACATTCTGTTTCCTCTGCAGGTTATCTCGAAGCAGCGATCTTTGTGATTGATTGGGCTTCCCACGTGCAGCGGATGACACGGCTGAGAAAGGTCCTTGTGTACCTCACCCAGCTCTGAATGGAAACAGTGTGAAGGCACAGCCAGTGCTGCTGTGGAGTGTTGCCACTGCCATGGATGGGAGGCTGGAGGGGAGCATGAACTGTGACAGCGCTAGGTGTGCCTGGAGGTGCCCCTTGGTACAGGAGGTGTGAGGTTGCACCGAGAGAAAACACTGCAAGAGTTTTTCTTGGGATGTACAGGCATATCCCAACTGGTGCCAGATCCTGTCCCAACCTGCTCTGAGCATGGATGGGTTGCCCAGACCCTGAGCAGCAGCAGGTCCTAATTTCCACAGACTTTACTAGCACTTCTTGCTAGAGATGGACCATTAGAGTCCTTAGTACCACTGGGCTGGGTGTCAGCTCTGCCCACCAGCAGGTACACTCACTGTCATGCTGGAGGTGACATAGTCCCTTGCCATACCCATGTGGCACCTTCCCATCACAGTTACCGTTACTCTGCCCAAACCCTGCAGGTTTCTGCCTGTTAAAGGAACAGTTTTGTGTCTCTGTTCCATCCCTCTACTTACTCACTGCTTACCGCTGCTTACTCACATCCACAGGACGCTGCCTGTCCCCACAGGGTCAGATGTTGCTTCTCATGCAAATCATTTGCACAGATCTTCATAATTTCTGAGAAGTATCAGAAAGACCTCAAACTCTGTGTTTATTTGCAAACACTATTAACCGTTTCCTCTTCTCACCCCAGGCACTCAGCTCCCGCCTGGGTCAGACCTGCAGATGTGAATTCAGTTAAACCGTTGGGGGAAGGATCTTTGGAATGTATGAGCTTCTCTTCCTCAGCATCTTTTTGTTTTTGCTTTCCCACTTGGGAAGCTGTTCCTTCTCCTGGACTTCAAGGTCAAGCAGCTCTGGGCTTCATGAGAGATGTTTGATCACAGCTTTCTTTTTCTTCTTCCAATTTTTAAGTGCTCCTTAAATACCCCAGATGCTTTTAAACCATTTTGGGGCTGACTCTCTGCTCTTTGAGGTGAGTGCTCAGGTGACAGCTGTGTGCCCCAGCAGTGATGCCTGCAGAAGAATGGGCCCTCCTCTGGGTCACAGCTGTGTTGATGGAATTCACCAGCTTCTGGTTGGAGGAAAACTATGACTTTTGTGCTCCAATGAACTGGTGTGACACGTCCTTACTGAAGTTGCTGTTTCTTAGTTTTAAAGAACAAACTGTCTTCTCACTTATTTCTGCTTATCCTTCCTTTTTAGACTTCATTTTCATCTTTTGGTGGCCAAATAGAAAAGGACTGTCCTATGCAACTTGCCATGCTCCAACTCAGAGAAAGAATTTATATTTTTTTAAGCACCAAAGGACCTTTTTATGACCATGTCAGCAAACCCCAAGATGTGCAATCTACCCCACTGGGCTGGAGCATATTTACCAGCACGAGTAGGGAGCTGCATCATGGTTGGGGCCAAGCTGTTTTCCTTTGTGCTGGAGAACCTGGTGGAGGAGCCAGGCTGAGCTGTGCTGGTCTGGCAGGGTGTAGGCAGGGTTCAAAGCCTGCCTGAAGCCCTGGGGCTGCTGTGGGGCTGGGGCTGTGCTCCTCTGCAATGTCAGCACCTGAGCCTAGCGCTGCTGCTCACCTCACTTTCCTCCACAGCAGCTTCCTAGCAGCTTGATCTTTTCTTTTATTCTTTTCATCACTGTGGAGTTTTTTTTCAGAGAAAAGGGCATCTTGCTGTTGTTGGTTTCTCATGGACACAGCAGCCTCCCCGCCCTGGGTACCGGTTTATAGCTATTCAAGTGTGCATTGGAAAGTTTGAGCAATTCGTGCTATGATTCTAATCAGCCCTTCACTGCTGCCTCATGGGGTGGGGAGGATGAGCCAGTTTTTCCTGCCTATCCCTGGCTTGCTGAGTTATGATCTTGGTGGTGATACCCATCACATCTTCCACCTCTAGAAACCAAAACATGTGGCAAGTGCCAAAGAAGCCTTCCCACGACTGGCTCAAGCGCCTGGTGTCAAGATTTGGGGACATAAAGCCTCAAGGTGGAAACGCCTCCTTGCAGTCAGTTTCTTTGTTTCTGGAGTTCAGCTCAGTTTAGTTTAGTTTAGTCAGGGTTTTTTTCAGTGGGAAACCAGGAAATTATGAAAGAAGAGGTGACGTCCAAGTCAAAACCCATGTGCACCCTTGCACATGGTGGAGAGCACTCTCCCTTTGCCGCCCGTCCAGGCAGCGTGGTGACCTCTGGCCAGGTGGCATAGAGAGGTGACAAGGTAGGTATGGCACCCAGCCTGGCTCTGCAACTTAAGCACTGCCAGCAGCTCACGAGAAAGGAGTGATGCTGCAATGCCAGGAGGAGACTGGAAAAGAGGACCAAGACAGGCTGGACTGAGGCACCCTCCCAGGGTGAGCCCTGTCTGCCCCAGCTCAGAACCCCCTCCTTGGACATCCTAGTTTGGCCATCCTTGTGGCATGGGGTTTAGGGCTGAACCTGATGATCCTAGAGGTCTTTTCCAATCTCAATGAATATATGATTTCATGATTCTATGAAATTCGGGGTGGTTGCCCCAGCTCACTTGCCTGCCAGGGACACGTTTGAAAGTGAGAGGTGAGTAAGCCCCAGCCCCACAGCTTGTTTGTGGAAATTTGGAAAAATAATGAAGTCATCATTAGAATCACAGAGAAGTGGAAGAGTGTGCTTTCACCACTGGTTATTTCCTATGCCAGTATTGGTCAGTGTGGTGAGAAGGGAACATAGATGGCAAAAACTTACAGAAGTCTTCTGTCCCGATAACAGCACCCTGGCCCTGGGCACCTGCCCTTACTCTCTTCAAATCTGAGAAGTAATTCACCTAAGGAGGCAGAACTCGTCCTCCTCTCCCTCCTCCTCATCTCCCATCCTATCCCATCCTGGTGAGAACAGCCAACCAGTTGGTGTCCCATGGCTTCTCAGACCTTATCTACCCAGTGCCACACATCCCACAACACCACTGCCTTGGGCACCCAGTGGGAGCACCTGTGGATGACTAGGAGCCCAAGATGACTTTTACTTATGGGCCAGGCTCAGAGCTGAGGCTGAGTCCCTTGTGGTCCTTGCCTCCTCCATCCCTGGAAGCTTTCCCCAAAAAGAGTACAGGCTCAGAGGTGCCCGTCCCCACTGCTTGGCAGCTGGGCACCTCGTATGGGAACATGCCAGGAGCGCTCAGGGAGGGGAAGGGGCCAAGTCTGGCTCAGCTGATCCTTGCCTTTGTGGGGAGGAAGCTGGGGGTGGGAGGCAGCCCGGGTTTCCCTCTCGGGCAGAGATGGGTACGTTTCACTTCCACCCAGCCCTCGCTGTGTACGACAGAGAACAAGCTGCCGCTGTGGGGAAGCAAGCACAGAGAGCTGGGAGCGACACAGCACACACGGCACAGCACCTCCCACCTGCCCGGGCAGGGGACACAGCGGCTCAGCATGGCCCCAGGTGCCTCGAAGAAGTCGTGGGGCAGCGTGGAGGTGGCCCTGGCTGACCTCTGTGTCATCCTGCTCTGCTGTGAGCCCATGCTGACCTGCTGCCGCCGGGGTAGGTACAGGAGTGTGGCAGGCTCACTGGCACGGCCGTGTGATTTGAAGCTGGTGGAAATGTCTAAGGGCTGGGAGCTTTGTAGTTAAAAATTAGCTCTGGCATCAAGAAGGCAGAAAACCCAAAGCTTTTGGGTATGTGCAGCTGAAGCAAAGGACTTGGGGATTCTTGGGGCAGAAATGGGATTAAAGGATGGAGAAGGGGACAGGTCCCCAGATCGCAGTGCTGACACAGAGCTGTTTTGTAACACAGAGATGGTGGTTGGAGTTTGGTGTTGAGCTTATGGGTTTGCCAGTGGGGTGTTGTAGTTCTCATGGCTTCAGTCTGCACCCTTGGGCTGCACCTCCTGGTTTGGACTCTATCCTGAGGGATCCAGGATCCTTGCTCTGAGTGAACTTTGTGGGAGGAGGAGAGGTTGAAGGGAAGGTGTGAGTCTGGGCAGGGTGAGTGAGAGCTCTGATGAAGCTGTGTCTCCTGTTCCTTCCAGCCCACTGTTTCTTTGGTGGATTAATGTATTTTTTGCCTTGAGGGTGGGGAGAGGGCTGGGTATCCCTTGGAGCAGATGTTACCTCTGGAGCTAGACAAACATGTAAACCAAACATCTACTTTCAGAAGTACTCCAAATGCTTCATTTATTGTTGGCAGTGGCACTAGTAGGAAATAAAGCCCTGAACCTGCCAAATATTTCTTGTTAAACACAAGAAATCCAAAACATGGCAGAAATCCCATCTCTCGGTGTGGACATCGACACAGGCAGTGCCTCCTGTGGGAACTGGGCCACTTCTCTCCTTCCCTCCTCTTGTTTGTTCTCAACCCTCATTTCTCAACCCAGTTTTCTAGCTGATTTCTTATTCACAGAATTTCCAGGTTCCTCTTTTGGTTCCTCTTCTGGTGATGCTGAGGTTATGATCCTATGGCCTCAGGCCAGAGTTGGAGGGATGGGAGGGACTTTGTGTGCAAGCCCTGGGGCTGCTATCAGTGGTGATTTCTGAAAAGGGAAGACAACTTTCTTTGGACAGAGGCTTTTCAAAACTATGGTGGTTTGAATAGCTTGGTCGGGTGACCCATGTGAAAATGCTTCTTTCCACATTTCATTGTTCTGAACAGAAATTAATACAACAGCTGTTCTGCTGTGTGGGGCTGGCTGAAGCTGGCACACATTGTGTGCCTGGGCTGTGTTTGCAGGATTCCCACCACGCAGGATGGATGAACCCACCGGGATAATGGGCAGGGAAATGGGGTGAAGCAGCCGGGGCTGGTGCTAAAGCAGAGGAGCCTGTGGCTCTGGCTGCCTGAATTCTGTGTTGGGAACAGCCTGGCAAGCCCAGCTGGAACCCCAGGGCCTGGCTGCCCACGCACACATAAGGAGGGGACAGGCCCCTGGAAAGGGATGGCACTGTAAGCTCCAGGTTGTTCTTCCCTGTCAGGTGGTCTCAGGCTGGAGATAACAAATACTGTGCCATAGGCAGCCCCTGCCTGCTCTGAGCTCCCTATGCAATGCTCACTACAGCATTGTGTAGTGGGGAGAGCCAGAGCAAACCAGCAGGCAGCCAGGCATGTGATGGGCTGCACCACAGGACACTGCCCCAACAGTCAGACACTGTCCCTCTGCTCACTTTCAGAGTCAATCTCAGCTGGAGAGAGGATAACTCAGACATCAAAATACAGCATATATTTAAAAATAATACAACCCCCAGAGTCTGTTTTCCCTGGTACAGTTGTTCAGTGTTAATTTTAGGTAGCCCAGAGCACAATTTGGTCTGCTGAAACCATTTCACAGTGCAGTTGCTACCTCTGAGAGCCCCTCTCCAGCCAGCAGGCATAGGTTTGGAATGGGAGAGACATGGACAGATGTACCTGCCTGTGTCCCAGAGTGATGATGTGGACTGGGCTTGCATCCCTGGCTCCCACACAGGGGTGTGGTTGTTTCTGAGACCTGTGCCTGCTGTAACCATGTCTGCTCCCTGTATCATCTCTCCCAAACAGTGACCATCTTCCCAGCGGTGTTAACTCTCCCTGAAGGTGACAAAGCCACTTTCTTCTGCAATATCTCTATGGAGAATGACTCTGGTTCAGAGTACAGCCTCAACTGGTACAAGGAGACCCACCACAGCCAAGCCCAAAAAACTGCTGAGATCAGCCGATACAAGCCCGTGACGGAGACAGAGAAGTACCGGCTCATCAACCACACTCCTGTCTTTGAGATTGAGATCCTGAACCTCCACAAGAATGACTCAGGCTCCTACTACTGTGGATTGATCACCTTCTATGAGCCCGATAAAGTGATGGAGAGCAACCGGTCCCAGCTGATAGTCACAGGTCAGCCATGGGGCTGAGCTGAAGGGGATGGGTCCCGAGCCCGTTGTAGCTCCAGGGGTTAAGGCAGGCAGTAACCTGCTGGCAGAGGACCTGACATGGGTCAGGAGAGCACAGCCCTGCCCTGTCCCATCTCCTTTGCACCCTGGAGGAAAAATGGGACTATGACAGCCTACCTGGCACTGAGCCCTTTCTGAGGACAGCCCCCATGTTCCCCTGCTGCCTTTCACAAGGACCACAGAGGCCATGTTACACTCCTGACCTGCTGTTTTGTTCCCCCTTTTTTGAATGCCTATTGCAGCAGCCCCCCAGATAAATGCTACTGATGAGCCAGAGATGGAGGAAGGCAACCCTTCAGAGCACATCAAGGCCATGCTCCTGGGCATCCTCCTGCTGGCTGGAGTGGCTGTGCTGCTGATCTTTGGCTACCTCACCTTCACATACAGGAGAGGAGGTATGATTCCCCTGGAGGCCACGCAAACCCAGTTTGGGACCTGGTGTCACCCAGATGTCTGCAGCTGCCTGGGGTACACGGACTGGTTCAATGTGTTAAACTCAGCTGTGGCATACCCCTGTGGAACAGATATCTCCATGCTGTGGGGAGAGGGGTGCTTTGAGCCCCACTTGCCCTTTGTAGAGCCCCCAGACCATGTGCAGTGGCTCTACAACACTCGTTAGTGTTGTGCCTTAATGGTGCACTTGAATCCCTCCCATGCACCTTGCCAGGTAACTTTGGAGCACCTCACCCTGCTGAGTACAGGGCATCGCCTCAGACACACCACAGGCCCCCAAGAACTCACAGAGAGTTCTGCTGCACTCCACTAATCCCAAATGAAACCCTAGACTGTGGGCTGGTTGTCCTTGTAATGCTCTGGGTGTTAGACCCTACGGACAAGGAGGACGTGTGGTGAAAAATTGTGGTGAGCTCTTTGGTGGGGCTGGGCTTACATGGCACACAAACCTCCTCTAACCAAGTGTGCTACTTTGCAGATGTGCAGAAACCACCAAGTGAAAACATGCCAGAGGTGAGTTTTCTGCCTCTGTAACCCTGCTGTGCTGCAGGAGAGCACTGTGGCATTGCTGGGGCAAGGAGGGTGCTGGGCCTTCCCTTATCAGCTCTTCACAAGCATCTCACTTCTTCTGTCTTCTCTGCTGCTGCTTGATCTTTTCTGCACAGCTACAACTGCTTTTCTGCACATGCAGAAGCACAGCCCCATCACAAAATCAAACAATCCAAGATAGGATGTGACTCTCTAATCCAATTCTTCTTCAAAGAAGGCTTATCTTTGACAGTGGGTTGTGTTGCTGTAGAAAATGGGAGGATGTTTCCCTCCAATATATCAAGCTGAAATTTATTTTGCTGCAGCTGGCGCCTGTTTTCCTCTCTGTTTAACCAGGCACCTCTAGGAGGGATCTGTTTCCATCTTCTCTCCTACCCCATTCATTAGGTGGCTGAAGGCAGTGAGTAGGTTGCCCTTCGCTCTCTCCTCTCTGGGCTGAGCAGACTCAGCCCTAGGCTCCTCTCCTGCACACTATGCCACCTTAGAGCCCAATGGAGAGGTGGGAAAGGGGCTCCTAGCACAGCTCTGCCTTCCATGGCAGGGCAGGCAGAGAGTCCAGCCTGCCTGCAGAGGCAGAGAGCTGAGACCCCAAGGCTCATGATGTGGTTGCTCTGTGCATGTTCTACCCCAGGTCTGTGCATCTTTCTGCTGTGCATCGCTCTCACCCTCCCAGGATGCTTCAGAGCTGATTTTGGCACTTGCTGTAAGAAGTGTACCAGGGCTTTTGCTGGGGATGGTGGGTACCTCTGGATGTTGAACCACCACGATGGGGTTACCTTGCAGAAGGAAGACAAGCTCCCTGTGGTGTCCATATCCACTGTGGATTATGGTGTGCTGGAGTTTCAGAGGGACCAGAGCAGCCCAGTGCCTCCCAAGACTCAGCCAGTTGAGCAGACTGAATACGCCACCATCATCTTCCCTGAGGAGAAACCTGTCACACCAGAGCGTGGCAAGAAGCACCTGGATGAGAGGACTCGACAGCTGCCATCACAGCCCTGCTGAGGGTCAGGGTCCCTCCTCACCAGGGTGTGGGCATGAACAGGCTGCCCCAGCCCCTCACTCTGGGAAAATCAGTGTATCAGGACTAAAGCAACAGAGATGCTGCTGCTGGAGTCAGCATTGAACAGTCCTGGCCACAGTGTTATTGTGGCCATGGGGTGGGTACCACAGGATGAGGAAGGTCCCTGCTGTGCTTCATGTGCTGCCTCTTCACTCAGGACAGGGAGAATGGACTGAGGCAGAGCAGTGATGCCAACAGGTCTGTACCAAAGGTGATTTACAGTATGCCTCAGAATTCTACCTCCACCCAGTGCTCTCTGGAGTGGCCATGCTGCTTCCCTGCCCCCGGTCTGAACCAGCTATCAAAGCATGACTGTTGAAGAAAGTGCTGGAGGTCAGAACTGGAGTGAATCCTGTGAGATGCTGCTCACGGGAGCCCAAGGCTTCTTGCAAGCTTCTTGCTCGGAGCAGAGGCTGCCCTATGTACCGCTATTCAGAAATCCCTGGGAAGCAGGCAGCTGGTCTTCTGCTTGTCTCCAGGCATTTTCCTCCTCTGCATGAGGGGTAATCTACCCTGTGTCCCTCCCTCCCCAGGTGGGAGTCAGATATGGCCATGGGGGTGAATAAAGAGTTTTGTATCCGAGGCGTTTGCTGACTCGTGATGGCAAATGCGTGGGCAGCAACAAACGGCTCTTGCAGTGCAGGGCAGAGCTGGGAGGTGGCAGCATCTGTTGTGGTTCCCCAGCCTCTCCGTGACATATGCAAGCTGCTCTTCCACAGAGCTGCTCTTAGGAATCTAGAGAGGTCGATGCTCGTTTTCTCCTTGCCCCTGTCTGAGCTGGTCACCCAGGCATGGCTGCAACCCAGCATTCACCCTTTATCAGGCTTGTCTTGGGGCACTCACCCACTCCATGGGAATGAGAATCCCTGCTGTGCCAGGGGTCTGGCTGCCATCAGCCAGGGCAAAGCTCATACTGTGGTGCTCAGTGCAGCTTTTTTGGCTTCAAACTTCTACTTTCTCTCTTGAAAGAGATGTGCTACCTGCCAGAAACCAGAGCGGAAAGAAGTGACAGATGCTCGAGAGAGGAGAAACCCCAGTAAGGAGTGGCTTTGGAGGTAGCAGAGGCTTGCCAGGAGAGTGTGAAACTCAGTGAAAACTGAGAAGAGTCACTTGCATCTCACGCTTTGGCAGCACTGTCAGCAGGTTTCTTCCTCCCTTACCCCCAGTAAAACCAGCTCAGCCTTGTGGGAGGAAACCTGGGCATTGGGGGAAGGGGTGAGGCAAGCCAGGCACCATATCTTATACTCTGTGGGGACTGGAAAGTCCGGATGAAACTTCCAGATGGGAGTAGATGGGATAAATATCCATTTGGGATAGCTTACCCCTTTCTTCAGGGTAGGACAGTGGATGTAGTGTCCCCTTTGGTCCCCAGTGCTGCTGAAGGCTCCCAGTAGCCTCCACGGGCAGTGCCATAACTGCCCATAGCTCACATAACTCATGCCAGTTCATGGTTCAGCCCACGGGGGCTTTTTGCCAGCAGCAGCCCTGCTCTTTGCCCCAGCAGCTCTGTCAGAGACCTGCTGTGGCCAGCAGGGCCCAGAAAACGAGGCAGGAGACAGATGCAGTGGGAAAGTGGGAGCTCAGTCAGCACTTCTGCTTTCCTGTCAGCCACGACACTGACATAACTGAGAGGGTGGACCCTGCTTCATATTTTCCATCCTACCTCTTAGGCAGCAGAGGTGCCAGACCTTCAGCACTTCCTGCACTCCCTGGCTGCAGCTATGACTCCTCCAGGTGCAGTTGGGGCAAGGCCTTTCCTCTCTGGTTGGATGGTGGTCTGCAGCTGACAGAGGCTCCCAGGCCATCCAGTGGGGTTGAAGGTGTAGCAAAAGCATCTCCCACTGCCTTTTGGGATGGGAGAGCATCCAGTCTGCAGCAGTGCCTGTGCCCCTCCATTCCCCATCAGCCTGGCTGCAATGCTGCCCATTGCAGGAAGGAAGGCTGGGGCCTCAAGATGCATGGGATGAGTGCTGGGGATGCTCCAGGCTGCCAGACACCATCTCCCATCTCTGCTTGGAGCACAGGATGGCCAGCACTGACAGACATGAGCTATACTCACCTGCACCTGGCATGGCACTAGCTATGCTGGCTGAGCATCCCCAGACCAAGCAGTGCCCTGAGGTGGGTGTCAGGCCCCACACCCCAGTATCCTTCTTGGGAATGGGAAGTTGAGTATGTTTGTGTGCAGAGCTCTTCATGCACACATGTGCAAGCACACACAAATGCTCATGAACACACAGATGTGTGAGCAAGGTACCAGACAAATTTGTGTGCGCACCCAAATATTTGCACGGCTACTGTACCAAATACGACCCCCCTCATAGACACACATCCCCTCAGGCGCCCCATCCCTGTGCCACAGCTCCTGCTGTGCTGGGACCCAGGACCAGCCAAGGAGGGGGGCTGTGGGTGCTGGAGCTGCGGCATTTCCTGTACAGTCTGGTCTGGCAGTTACAGCAGCAGCTTCCGACCGCGGGCACCCAGCGCTCCCTCGAGGAGTGGCTGCCACCACCTCAGTGCCAAAATGCTTCGTCAGCCCCCTGAGACCACACACCAGCTGAGACCTCTGGAGAGCCTCACCCTGGTCCCACACTAGGGTCCTAATGATGAGGAATGGTCAGAGCCCTCTGGGAGACCTCAGAGAGCTGGGACCGGTCCTGTCAGCATCTGCAGAAAGCTGGATGAGTGGCAACATGCCTGGGCTATACCTAAGCAAGCAAAAACCTACTACACGGTGCTTGAGAGCCAGCCTGGCTCCTTAAACACCCCAGCCTTGATTAAAGGTGTTGGAAACAACATGTGTGAAAGCATCTCTTCAAGAAACCTGAACTTATAAACCATGTCTAGGGAAAACTGGACAGGCAGATAAAGATGGAAAGGAAATCCTTTCCTGCACTTTGCAGCTGTGTCTTTGAGGAGAGCTGTGCCATAGAGCAGCAAAGCACCGTTCCTGAACACCAGGGCATTGCAGTTGTTGAGGGGAGAAGGGGTGGTCAGGCTGTAGGACAGCAGGGTCAGTTTCAAGTGAGCACTGTCCTGGGCACTGGGATGTCTCAGAGGTTTTTGATTAGGACAGTTTGGACTGGAGGTGATGCATCAGGTATGGGGTTATTTGTCCACTGGGTTAATGAGATGGCTTTTGGGTGGGACTGGTCTCTCAGGAACTGTGGTGTGGGAGCATTGCCATGGACTTGACTGTCTGGGAAAGTGACTGTTGTTCCTGAAAGAGAAAGGCTGGAGGGAGCTGGTAGGTGCTGTGGTTGGTGGTGGGATGGGTGGGCTGCTGTGCAGGCTGCCTCGACCCCGAACCATGGCTCTGGTGTGTCCTGAGGGGTCTGGGTCCAAAACATCTCCTCCATCCTATCCCACCGAGAGTCTCACCCTACCTGTCACTGAGCTGTTGCAGTCTTACAGAGTATCTGTGTTTCTTCCTACACCCTGATTCTGCTTTCTCTAGTTTTGCTTTGAGCTGTCTCCAGAGTTTCTTCTCCTCTCTCTTCTTCCCTTTGGTGGGATGTGATGCTCAATGAGGGAGATGACAGTCCAGATCCTGGTGCATGGGGCTTGGAGGGCCAGGCAGGAGCCCTGTGTCTGTCTGCTCCTCTGTCCCAAGACCAAACCCACTGCCCATGGCACTGGCACAGAGCCTTCTTGGAGGGGGTCCTTATGCCTGGAAGCTCGCTCCTTATGCCTGGAAGGACCATCACTGGACAAGGAGCCTAAACCCATGTGGGGTGATACCTGCCCATATCTTCACATCCATTTGCCCCCTTAAATCTCTTTCCATTGCTCAGCATCCCTCTCCATGTGAGAAGTCCAGGATGATGGGGCAGTGTGCCCTCTCTATAGTCCAGCTTGAGCATAGCCCCCTTTCCAGAGGAACTGATCCTCCTCTCCTCAAATCAAGCCTTAGACAGGTGGACCCTTCTGCGCCAAGGGTTCAGCATAGAAGGGAATCTGTAGCTACTGCTTGTCCCTGGAGCTGGTGGGTTTCATCATGACAGGGTGGCAACCATTCATTGTCAAATGCATCAAGGCTGGAGGGGGATTGAGGCACAGAGACCTGCCATGGAGCCATGTCTCAGGAGGATATGAATTCACCATCTGCTTCATGGAAGCAGAAAAAAGAGGATCTGGGAAATTCTAGACAAGTCAACCTGCCTCAGTACCCAGAAGACTGCTGGAACAAATTACCACCAAGTGGCAAACACTGACAGGGCAGTGCTGGGGATGAGAACACAGATTTAGCAGGAACTTGTGTCAAACTATCCTCATTTTCTCTTCATTAGGGTGACAGACTGGGTACCACAGGGAAAGCGTGAGTGATGCTATCTTTGTGCTGCCTTACATTACATTCTCATAAGCAAATGAGGAAATGGGAAATTCTGCCTCTGTGGGTGGATGGATTCTCAAGAAGCTCTATGCCATGAGCAATTATCAATAGCTCGTGCAGCAGACACATCCAACAGAGATTTTCTGGGGAAGCCAGGCTCACATGAAAGCAAGATGCTATTGAAAGAGGGTGTAGGGGCTGTTTGGGTGGGGGTTAAGAAATTGAATTCACCCTGATGACCTGGAGAAAAGAGAAAAAATTTCCTGAAAGAATGACTGATGGAAATGAATTGGGTGTGTTCAGCACAGGAAAAAATGAGGGAAGTCTTCAGAAGAGGAAAAGCCTCAGTATGAAGCAAGCAGTGAGAAGTGTTTAGGGTTCTGCCCTGTTGCTTAGATGTTAGCTCATCTGTCCTGTAAACCTTAATGTGCTCATGGACACAGCATCCCCACTGCTGAGGGCATGTTCCTTTCTCCAGTCCTGCATGGGGTTGAATGCCCCTTTCTGCCCCTTCCAGGGACTCCTGGCAGGATGGGCCAGGGTATGGGGTGACCCATGCCAAAGGAAGGGATGGATGTCCCAGCAGGAATGGGGCGCATGTGGGCCAAGGAGAGTTCTCATGAGCAATGTGGGCACTTTGTCCCTTGGCTGGAAGAGTGGGGAATGTAGAGGCTGACACATAGTGAGAGATGAAGAGGAGGAGAAAGAACTTTGGGAAACCTTCCTGCACACACAGAGGCGGCTCACCCAGGGGTGGGAGCTCAAGTCAAAAATAATTTCGTACTGTGCAAAAGCAGCAGGGAAATTACCACCCAGGCTGCACCTTGTGTGCTTCCTTCACGCATCCCACGGAGAAGCCATGACCAGTGTGCTGGAGTGAAGAGGATTGGCAGGGTCTGACCCTGGCAAGGGCTGCCAGCCCAATGAGGTCATGCTGTGTGCAGGACACAGCTTGTCCCCACTCCCTGCTGAGGCTGGGCTGTGGGGAGATCCTGTAGGAACAGCTTTTGTTTCCAGGCAGGTACTGATAAGCAGCAAGGTGCTTGGGCAGAGCCAGGAGATGTGTGTGAAATGGAACAGGATGTTGAAGCAATTTCGTCTCTGTGGGTTTTTCTAGGAAAGTCCCTTTAGTAAAAGCAAGTCAAAAGCTTTAATAGAGGGACCAGCACTCGGCTGTCTCAGAGATGACTATGAGGGCTCAGCACACTGTGGGTCGTGATTTGAGTTGTGTTGCCATGACGTAACAGGGCACTGGTTTCCATCACAGCCAGGTTTTGAACGCAGGGACCCGTTCCCACACGAGGAACCAGGTATGCCTCTGTATTCCCACTGAGCAGTGTGCCAGAGGGGCAGTGTTTTGGCCCCTGGGGTGGGAAGTGTGGGGAGTGGTGCCTGTCCCGTGGGGAGAATCCCTCTGCCCTGTGTCAGCAGCCTCGAGGAGGAAGAGCTGGGCTGAAACCACAGATCCTTGTTTGGGTGAATATGAGAGTGTCCCCAAGGGGCTTCTCCTCCTCAAAATAGCTGGAGGTGTTTAACACAAGCATGCCCAAATGTAAAGGGAAGGTCTTTCTTGCATTCAACCCCACCAGGGTAAATCTTAGACAATAACACAGAAGGGGTCAAGAGGACTGGCAGATACTGCAGGGTGGGAGCTCCATCCTGGTCACCCTGCTGCTGGCTGGGTCCCCATGCCATGCTTGGCCATGGTGCCAGCTGTGAGGCCAACCCTATCCCTACTTAGCTCCCACCTTCTGCACCATGAGATTTGTAGTCCTGAAGACCCCTTTGTGGCAGGATACATGAAGGGGTCTTCTATAGACATGGTGGCCCCAGGGAAAGGAATGAGAGGAGGCCAGAATGATCTGCTGCTTCATCTCTTCCTCCTCATGCACTAGCCCTGAGCCAGGGATGTCCCCCAGCCTCATTCTGTGAACATTGAAAACGCTGGTGGGATGATCCCTCCTTCACTGTCCTGCTTGCAGTTCACTGCCCCAGCCCGAGCAGGACCCAATGAACCCATGACAGGGGTCTTTGCAAAAGGGTGGCTCAGGGTCTATCCATAGGTTAGAGCTTTCTTCATAAGCCTCCTGAAGACCTTGTCTTGGCTTCCCTGCTTCCAAGCACTTTCTGTCCTTCCAGTCCTGCTCCAGATGATGGTATCAAGGTGTAATCAAGAGTGGAAGGAACCTCAAAGAAGGAAAATGTGGAATCTGAAGGTTTGCTCTGCCCTGGGATCTCCTGGTGTTCCCTGGCTCTGCTCTCACAGGAGGGTTGTGAAGCTGTTATAGGGCTTTCAGTACAAACTGACTTACTGGGTTTTCCCTTCCAGCAGCAAAGATTAGAGCCTCCCTGCCAGGCTGTGGTTCCTGAGATTTACCTACATGGACTGCCTGGAGCTAAACCTGCCTTATCAAGATCTTTCTCAAACTCAAGCCCTGTTATCATTTGGCATCTTATCTAACCTGCTTTCTTTCCATGGGATTTGTCCTGGATTGCTCTCCATGGGATTTCCTGTAGCTGGGTGGCAGAGGGCTGCAGGTGGCCCCAGCCCTGCTGTTTATACCTTGTCTGGGTGCTCTCAGCTCAGAGCACACCTCATCTCTTTTGGTTTTACGTACCCTGCTATCCTCCCCAACTTTCCACCCTGAAGTTTCATGTTAGGCCTTTTTCTGCCCAAATTGACTGAAAATTAGTAAAAATAGCCCATGGTTGGTGGCAGCTATTGAGAGAGATAAGGTTATCTGGAGTTTTATCAGCTGCTGAGTCCTGCATTTTCAATGGGTTTCACTTTCATTATTCCTAAGCTGGGCAAATCTCTCTAAATTCTCCCCACTGCCATGAATGTGATGGGCATGGCAGCCTGGCAGGGAGTTTTTTTTCCAGTCCTTCTGCCTATGGACAGAGGAGCATTGTGGCTTTCCAAGGTCAGGGGTTCATGTATATATATTGAGGAAACACACCTTGTCCTTGTCTTATGGGACATTTCACCTGGCCAAGACCTGGTGCAGTGTCAGCAGAGACTCTTGACCCAGAGATTGGGCTGGGGTGGTGCTGCTCATGCAAGAGCAAAGGTTCCCCTCTCCAAGCACAAAAACATTGTACAAAGCGGAAAAGTATAGGGAAAAGGCAGTTGCATATGTGCATTCAAGAGCTGCAACCTTGACTTTCAAGCTTGGTCGCTACCCCATCCCCAGCTTCAAGTGGAACTATGAGCACGTGGCAGAGCATTTTTGCAGTGAAGATGGAAGAAATGCACATAACAGATCCGTGGACACTTCTGGAGGATGATGCCCTGCAGGTGCAAGCCTGTGGGCCTGGCTGGAAGGAGTTTGTGCAGCGCCATGCTCTTGGGAGGTAAGGGGCTGCTGACAGTCCCTGTTGGAGTGGGATCAGGGTTGATGAGTTGCCATGTGGACCTTTTCCTTTTTCAAAATTTGTCTGCAGGAAACAGGTTTTTGAGCAAAAGGGAGAGTTTGGAGGTAGATGAGGCTGCGAAGGGTTTCTTCATTTTTATTTAAATCTCAGTGGCTTAATGCCAAACTGGAAAATATGACATTTGGAGAGAATAGTTCAGCAGGTCCAAAGGGCAGCTGCTATTTGGCCAGAATTTCTCCATGTCATTGTCAAGATGAAAAGAGCTCCTTCAGCAAACAGGGGGAGTTATACCTCACTAGAACTAAATATTATGGGTTTGCACTCAGAGGGTGAGGAAAGGGAGAACCACTGCATGCTGGGGACATGGGGTGATGCCTCAGCAGCTGCTGCACCTGCACCAGGTTGCAGGGCCTTGGGCAGAGAGAGGCTGTGGCTCTGCACTGCTCATGAAAAGCCCCATCCCAAACATTTCCACCCTGAGCATTGTTCAGACACCCTGCCTGAGTGGCAGCAAATGGAGACTCCCATGCAGATTGTGCAAGATGAAGAGCTGTGAGCTGCACACCTTTTGGCTCCTCAAGATATCTCTTCACCTGCCCTGCACCATCCACCCACGCCTTCCTTCTATTTTGCTTCTTTTTATTGTCTTACCCAGACTTGGGCTCGATGCTGGCTTTCCACTGAGCTGTGATGAGCCAGCACAGGTGAGGGGCTGGAGTCCCAAACAGGGACCTGATGCTTCCCACTCCAAGGCCCCTGCTTTTGGCAGTGGGCCAGGATCCCAAAAGACAGCCTGGCTTCTGAAATCTTTAATGCTGGGGCCAGCCCTCAGCTCACATCTATGGTGAACTTCCCAGACTGGCATCATGCTGTTAGGGTGGGGACAGCTTGGTTTAGAGCTTGCATGAGTGAAGTTAGTCCATAGTCTGTGTTAACCCTCGTCCCTACTGACTGTGCCAAAAGACTCTAGCTCAGCATGGGGCACCTGGGATGAGCTGGTCTCCTCTTTGTCCTGACAGGTTTCAGTGTTCCCAGTGCTTTTATAGCTGGTCTTCTGCCAAGGTGCACATCCTGTTCCACATGTGCCACTGCCAAGGCTGGGGCACGGTATTGATGCGAATCTTTCGCCAGAAATGCAGGCGCTGCCGTAACTCCCAGCTGGAGGATCCTGACTTCAGCCTGGACACTGTGGAGACAATTCTGCACAACCTGGTGATAAAGATCCTCCAGTATTTCTACAAGAAGCCTGTCCAGCCCTCTGACCTCCTGGAAGTGGTAGTGGATACACCGGTGACGGGCCCACACGAGCATGCCCACTGCGAGGCCTGCGAGCTCGGCATTTGCAGCAGGGCACAGCGGGCCCCGGCTCTGGATGCCTGGAAGTCCCTGATGGATGAGGACAAGGCCAGGATGCACAGCATCGAGTCAGGGCTGGCCTGGCCATCAGAAGTCCGGAAGTCCTTAAAAAATGACGGGGAGGCTGGAACCCATTGCACGGAATCATGGCCATCCCTGAGATCAGATGACTGCAAGCCCTTGATTGGTGTGGGCAAGGCCAGGACCCATCGCACTGAGTTGCAGTCAGCCCGAGCATGGGTTGCCTGGAATACAAACATGTCCAGGACCTCTCAGACCCTGAAACACCAGGGCTTAAGGCCCCATGAAGCCTCGACCCACCACCCCTCACCCTCCAACAGCAACTTCTCCTGGAAATGGTGCTGCTGCATCAGCAGCTCTTTGCTCTGTGTTTTGGCACTGATCATCTTCATTGTGCTTTATTTTACCATTATGTAGAGGGACCTGGGGATCACAGAGAGGAGTCGGGAGACCAGGGAAGCTGATGAACTGCCTGGAAAATTGGGTACCCAAGATCAGCCCTTGCTCTTGGCTCAGCAAGCTCCCCAGCTCCTGGTGGCATGGCGACACATTGGGATGCCTCAGCCCGGCACCATGTCCCACAGCCTCTGGGAGACTGATGGGTCTGATGGATTCTTATGGGACTTATTCTATATGAGGATGAATCTCCCAGCTACCCCATGCACAGGATTAGGTTTATTACTTGCAAGAATAAAACAATCCCCTTCTCCTCAGCCCAAGAATGCATTTGTGCTTTTTAATTTCTCAAAAGCCTTTTATAGGTGTGTGTTGGCATCTTGAAGGGAAGCTTGGGGATGTTTTTATCTCCCAGCAGAGCTCTGCTTCCAGAGAGGCACATGCCCAGTCTGCCCTACCTTTGGCCAGCTGGGTACCCTGCAGAGGGGGCAAAGGGTGCCAAACTTGGCAAGTGCAAGAAGGCTGTAACAGCAAGTCCAAAGTCTATGCCCCAGTTATGCAGAAATTGCAAGTATTGGACTACAGGGTCTGGGCAAAGATGAAGATGTAGACTCTTGCCTTCTGCTACTTCACCCTGCTGGGCTTTAGGGACCTGGTGGGTGTCATAAAGTTGGGAGGAAATGTGCTGTCCCCATGCAGCCTACCATCTTGACTCTTATGTTCCTTGCAGGGGAGCTGGGCTCCTGCAGAACTTACCCCTGGGCACAGCATGTCCTGTGGCCACAGCTGATTTCAGCTGGGATGGGGATAATTTTCTTTTTTGTACCTGTTACTGCACTGTACTTTGGATTTAATATGGGAATAATCATGTTGATAGCACACTGATGTTTTAGTAGTTGCAAGTAGTGCTTACTCAAAGTCAAGGACTTTTCTGTTCCCTGTGCTCTGCCAGTGGAGCAGGTACACAAGGAGCTGGGAGGGAGCACGGCCAGGACAGCTGACCAGAACTGGCCCAAGGGACTTTCCACACCATAGATCATCGGGCTCAGTGGATAAACTGGAGGAGTTGGCTGGGAGGGGCTGATTGCTCTGGGGAATGGGCTGGACATCTGTCAGAGGGTGGTGAACAATTGTAGGGTGTGTCTCTTGTCTTTATTAAGTCTCTATCTCTCTGTTCATGATTGTTGTTATTATTAATATTTACTTTGTTTCAATTATTGAACTGTTCTTATCTCAACTCACAGACTCTTTTCAAAGTCTCTTCCCCAAACTGCTGGGCCAGGGTGTTTTGACTGAGTGAGAGAGGCTGTACTGTACTTAGTTGCTGGCTGAGCTTAAACCACAGCAACTTGAATAAACTTTTGAAATAGCCTGTAGCCTGTACATCACAAGCCTCAAACGCAACCATGGTTACCAAGGTCTGTCTTCTCCAGGATCCTGGGGTGAGCAAATGGTGGTGGGGGGGCATGGTGTGCCCTGTGAGAGAGAGCATTGTGAGGGCTGTCACCTGGGAGTGCACTGGGGACACCAGGGATGCCATGGGAAATCAATCTCCATGGGGCCACAGGAGAATTCAGGAGATGCAGCCATTCCCTGGGGAAGCGAGGTGCCAGTGATGAGCATGCAGTCACCAGCTCACAGCTGAGCTCTGGATGGGTTTAGGAGCAATTTAAGAGGCAGCACCCCTTGGTGTGCTTGCAGCATTCTCATCATAGCTTTTGTTTTCATTTGATATCTCTCAGAGAGGCTGGCCAGTGATCCTGACTGGTGAATGACTTCTATGAACTCCATCAACTTCCTGGCTTACTGTGCTTCAGTGGCCCCAGGCACCTGCTTCGCTAGGATGCTGATTGCTGGTGTTAAGTGGGGGTTTCTAACACATTCATGGCTCCCTCTTCTTTGCTGTTTTCTCTGTGATTCCTGCATTGCCTGTGCGGTGGAGGAGCTGAAACACAGACACCAGGGGACATGCTGCTTACCTGAGTAGAAAAAGCTGAATTGAACAACCCTCAAACTACTTCAGGTACTGAAATCGATTTTAGGCCTGTCTATCAAATTAGGCCAACAAGGAGCAGACCTGCAGAACCACTGAGGTAGCTGTATCCATCCTCTCCTGGCTTTGCAAATGATTTGATCCTGAAGATGGGTATGATATCAAAGATTTTGTGACTGGATTAGTTGAAGAATGATGGACTGAAGGGAAAAAAAAAACCAAACAAATTCACTGTGGCTCACACAACATCAATCCCTGGCTGTGCAGCTTCCCAGGTGCTGTCCTCTCCTCCCTGCAGTATTCTGAAGAGCCTTTTATGGTACTTTTTCTGCTACTGTAAGGTTCATCTTTATTCTCAGCTAGACAACCTGCAGGCTATTGGTTAAAAAAAAAAAATATATATATATGTAACAAGAAAACGCTGTGTGGTCCAGACGCCATGTGGATTTTGGTTTCTTAAGTGCTCTAATCTACTTTTATCCCACCAACCCTTGCCTTCACCAGCGCCTTCTCGCTGCATCCTCAGCAGCCCTGGCCCCGGAGCCACCAGATGGAGCTGCAGATCTCCGCACTGCTCCGGGAACCGCTGGGACCAGTGACCCGCCAGCACTGGGACGGGACAGCGTTCCCCACATGGGGGATGCCCTCCCTCCTATTTCTGTGACCAGCTGCTGCCCGGTAGCATGGTCCCCCCAAAGCCCACGTAGGTGGGGATTGTTCTGTGGGTGCCTGCCTCTCACGAGTGCCTCTGCTCTGCCGGGGCTGTGCTCGGACCAGGCTGATGCTGCAGCCCGGACCAGCTTCCCTCCCTCCTGTGCTGGGAGCAGGCGCTCCCTCCCTGCCAGCAAAGATATGGCCACGTTTCTCGCTGCCATTGCCCACAGCCCTCTTCTTTCCATGCTGAGGTTTTCTCAGCCCCAGTTACCATGTCTGGGTGTCAGCCTATTCTTTTGAGAGTTTTAAAGTTTTTCTAAAGGTTCCTATCCCTTCTGATATTTACATATTTCAACTGAGTTTTCTCACACACTGTTCATGTAAATAATAATTGTTTTGCATTCTTCTTTGTGAGTGGAGAGAATTGATAGACTGTTAGTTTGACCAGTGTAGTTGGAGAGATAGCAGTTTCACCCTCCAATCCACTATCATTTTTGCTATTGTATATATAGTGGAGTCAGAAAATAAAGTTTGCTTTTTTGGGTTCTTTTTTCTTTCCTTTTACATCTAGCCTGCTTCTGTGAGTTATTTCGTGTCACAGTGTGACATCTGGGCTGTCTGCCACCTCCCCAGCCACCCAGCTGCTGAGTGGGAACTCCCTCATCTCTGCCTGAGATGTCAACTCTGGTGGAGACTACATCCCTGCAGGAGTCCTTGTTTTCCTGCTTGAGTCTGTCTGCTCTTATACAAGGGCAGACCCACCTCTTGCTCCCCTGCAAGTTTTTTACATACCTCCTGTGCTCCCCCTTCCATGGCCTTGTGTGAATATGCTCCTTTTCCCCTGGTCCCCTCCTTGCTGCTGCCTTCTTGCCTGCCTGTGTCATGCTGTGCAAGCATGTCCCCTCCCTCATGCAGCCGCTTCATCTCCTCCCCAGTACTGAGAGCCACCTGTGCATACATGGGCTTCTCAGCCACGGCCTCATTTTTGGGGTGTTTTCCAGGATACCCCTTTCTAAACATGCAGCTGTGACCATTATTAATTTATTAGCAAACTGCCTTCAAAATTCTGCTTTCTGTGACTTTTGGGTTCAGAATAAGCACTTCTGACCTGGCCAGGCCCCCAGCTGTCATGGGAGCAGCAAGCCCATCCCAGGGGATGAGGGAAGAAGGATGCTCTCTCTGTGGGTTCTGTGCAGGTCCTGTCTGCCCCCCAATTTTTTGAGATTGGGCTCTGCTACAGCCAGCTCTCAGCTCATGCCTTGCACTCACAGCCAGGGACAGCAAAACTTCACCCAGGGATGTTTTGCTGGCTTTTCACCACAGCCAGACTGATAAATAGCTGTCTCCACGCCTGTCTCCCTGGAGAGAAGCTCTCACCACTCTGGCAGGTTGCGAGGTGCCAGAAATGCAAAGCCCATTGTTGGTCTCACTTTTCTCCTCGGCTGCCTGTTCCCAGCCCAGCCTGCAGCCACCGCAGTGCCCGTGGGTCACTCGGGGCTGGCACTCCGTGAGCAGTTGGGCTTTCCCGGCAAAGCTATTGACAGGAGGTGGGGGAGAATCTGTATTCACCAGTGATCTGTTCAAGGCCAGCAATATTTTTTAATGTGCCCCAGGGCTGTCTAAGCTCAAATCCTACAGATGATGGTTTAATGCTCAGGGGACCAGGCCTTTATTTTGCTTTTTCTCTCTCCTCTCCTTTACTCCCATGATGTCTCTGGAAATGTTAGCAGACCTGTGAGCCAGCCAGACCCACCGCCCTCCTCCCTGCCATCAACACAGAGGAGCCTGGTGCTGTTTTTCAGTTCTGTGCCATAGGAAAATAGGGATCAATAACCCAGCTCCCAGCCCTGGATCCAGGAACATGGGAGGAAACAATCCCCATTATTTTAAGCTCCCTCCCGAGTGGAGATTCTCTCAATCTCTGATGCAGTGGTGTCCAGCAGAGTTTTGTCCCTGCCTCAGCTCACATCTGAGCTCACTGCAGGTCCTCTGCTGTGAGGACATGCTCTTTCAATCCAACAATAGTGGGAATGGGCTGATTTTTCACACCTTTTAAAGCAAAAGTCACATACCTCATATTTTTTTCCTCATGTCAATTGAACTCAGACTTAATTGCAATTCTCAGCAAACAGGTTGCTGCCCTCTGCTCCTGCCACTGCCCTCATCTTCAGTGATGTGCTAAGGCTATAAATAATTAAAGGCAGCATCTCCTTTGTCACCCTTCTTTTGTGATTTGTATTCAGGGGCTGCTCAAGGTCTGTCTCAGCCCAAGAAGCTGCACAGGCCAAGGCTGAGCAACCGTCAGAGTGAGGGATGGTGTGAAGATTCTCCTGGGAGTGCAGGCGTGCATGGCAGACATCAGCAACCAGCCTTAACCATGTTCCTCTTGGAATAAAAGCCACAGGGCACAAGCTCAGTACATACAAAAGTTTTATTTTGTTCTCATGAGGAAGACTATGAGAACCATCCTTACCTGACATCAGGTATTTTACAGAATGTAATATATATAAAAAAAGAAATACATATATATTAAAAAATACCTTGCAGTTACATGACATAGCCAAGAGTACAGTTCATAGTGTATCTGCAAGTTCAACCTTCCTTAGGCTTTCTGCTCCTCTACAAGTTCTGCAGATGGCTTTTTGGATAGCAAAATGTCAGTGTCTCATCCGCTGTTGGCTTCTTTTGTTCATGGAAAAACCAAAGGAGGAGGAGGAGGAGAAAGAGAGGCCTGAAGGAGGGTA